TGTCACCAAAGGGGGGTCTTTAATAAGAGCTGGTAGCCCAGGGGGAAGGCACGCAGTGGCAGACCCAGTCTCTGAACAACTCTTCCTGTCCAGGTGGCCGCTTTTTCTGAGGTTCCTCTGGGGCAGGAGTTGTCACCCTAGCAGAGTGTAGTGGGTAGGTCTCTGTGTGTGTGTGTTGGGGTCAAAGGGGTCACAAGCTGCAGGGCAGAAGCTGTCACCAGGGCTGCTGAGGCCAGGATCAGGCCCCAGTGAGTTTGTTGCTTTGCCCAGAGCGAAGTTTTATTTGGAGAGTCAGACAGAGGTGTTCCCTAGAGGCCCCCGGCAAGCCTTGTGCGGAAGTGAGCTGGAGGGCCAGGGAGAAAATAAAAGCGAAAATACTCACCTCACAGAAAAATTCAAAGTCCATTTGCAGTGACCGTGATGAGCACATTCTGAGGCAGGTGATGATGCAGGCTTAGACCGCGCTGCAGCGGGAGCAATGCGCATCCAAGTGTCTGTGCACGTTATGTGGCCCCAGTGTTAACGGAGGAGCCCAGTGAGTGCCCCTGGGGGAGGGGGTGTTTGCGGGATGCATTTCACTTCCAGCAGATGTACCCGCCATCAGCCTCCCTCCTCACCAATTCGGAGCATCCCTGGAATTTCCCCTACAGATTTTTTTCTCTCAAGGAAAAAGTGCTCTCCTGACCTACGGGAGGGCACCTTCTCCACCTACACACCCACACTGGCCTCTTGCCTCTCCCTGTCACTGCCAGCTTCTGGCTTTCCCTTGCACTTGGCGCTGTCTTCCTCAGTCAGCGCAGTGCACCTGCTCTGCGGCTCAGATAGCCCTTTGCAGGCCTCCAGGGCCTGGTAATCCTCAGTCGCCAGCCGCTCTGCAGCTGTTGCCCGTCTCCCTGGAGGGTGCCACACTGTCCCCACTGACATTCCCTTCCTTAACCTCAAGCTTCTCGTCCTCCTCCTGCCCTGCAAGTGCCAGAGTGGGGCCGAGGCAGTGTCTTTAGGCTGGCTTGCTGTTCCCTGCACTCCTCTCCCTGGAGCTGCCCTGTGCACCCAAGGTTACCCAATGCTCTTAAAGAAAGGCCAGTCAAGTCTCCATCTCTCACCCAGCTCTCTTCTTGGCCAGTTTGATTTGTGATACACAAGATCTTCACTGTGATGTTTCAGGAACCCCTTAGACACTCATCCCAAGCAGCCTCTCCCTCCACATTGTCCCTGACCCTTGTGGAGATCACTGCTGTCCCTCAGTCACCTCTGTTCTGACTCCCCAGCCAGTCCTGACCTACTGTCTATTCTCAGGGCAGCCGCATGAGTTCCTGTCTGCTGGACCTGTTTCCTGTACTGCCTGAACTGTCCACGCACTCGCTTTCCTGCCCTTCTGTTTTCTTTTCCACATTGTTGCAGAGGGGCCTCCTTAATGCACGGTCTAATCAAGACCTCCTCCTTCCACTAACGGCATAGTGGAAGCAGTGTGGACTTCAGAATCTGGCAGATTGTGTTCAAATCTGGGTTTATGACTTGCTGGCTGTTGTTGTATGATTTGGGCAAGTTGCCCATCTTCCTTGAGCTTCTGTATTCCCACCGGTAAACAGAGATAGTAATGTCACCCCCTTGGGGTTGCTGGAAGGATTAAATGAGCAGTGTATACACAGAGCCTAGTGTCTGGCAGGTGTTCAATAAAGCTGGTTTTCTTCTTCCATGTTTGACAGCATAGGGAGTTGTGGGGTCTCTGGGGAGGTAGAAAATGTGTGTCTAGCCTAAAGGCATTCGAATTTAAGTAAAAAACAGACAAGCACAAAGAACTGCCACATAGCAGGGTGGACCATCATTTAAACAAGTCTATTGCTGCCGCTTTGCAATCTCTAGACCAGGCTGACCTCAGGGGCAGGGTTGGTGAACTGGGATGGGGCGTGGCACAGTGCAGATATGCTGGGCCCGGCTCTCTGCAGGCAGAGGACAGGGAGGGGGGCTGGCAGCATCGGATAAAGGAGGCCCAGCCCCAGAGGGAGGATTTCAGGGGCAGGTTTCCAGTCTTTTAGAAGGATTTGTGGGCAGAGCAGTGCAGCCTTGGAGGAATAATAGTGCTGGGCAGGGAGGCAGGTGAGGGACCCAGCAGGGGAGGGGAATACAGGCATTGGCTTGGTTACCAGGAGCAGAGTGGTTACTTCAGTGGGGACCAACTATGAAGTCAGCAGAATGAGGAATGACTCGAAACAGCCAGGCTGTGTCCTGAGCCTCTGTTAAAGGGATCCTTGATGCTGGAGGATGGAGGCAGGTAGATGAGGTTAAGCTGAGCATGTCCTGAAAGTCCCTCTTCTGCCTTCAGGACGTTGGGACTCTGAGGAAGAGGCTGGGCAGAGATCTCTGATACAACCTAGGAAAACCACGCTTCCCTGGGTTAAAGGCAAAATAATGTAATATAAAGTGAAGGCTTCAGTGCTGAGGAGATGCAGAATTAAAAAAGTGATTAAGCAGCTGGGACGGACTATTCCAGGAAGTCCTCGTAAAAAGTGAGGAAAGGCAGACCGGAGGGAAGGAATGTTGGACCATAGGCAAAGGCATTTCTAAGGGATAAAGGAAGGAATGAAAGGAAGTTCCTCTTACTGAATGGGAAGTAGATTATTCTAGCGCAGATTGATGTGGAGGTGGTTTTTATTAAAAAAAAACACCTAATAATTTGGGATATTGTTTCAGCTTCTCAACAGCACTCCCACAGACCTACCTCAAAAAGTTCGGTGTCATGAATTTATTTTGGATGGCCAGACGCTAAGTTCCTTCAATCCTTCCGTGATACTAACAACTCTGTACATATGACTTTAGTGGTTCCCGGCCACTGGGTCTTTCTAGCAAGTGTGACTTCTCCAGCCCCCACCTCTTCCTCCTCACAAGTGTAATGCTGTGTTTTCTCAGTGCCAGCTCTGTTTAGGCCATGTCAAACACCTGACTTATCTATTCCTAATTTTCTTCACATCTTTTCTTGTGCCTAAGATGCCTCTTGTTTTAATCTACTAATCCATGCCCCTCTCACTCTTTTCAAAGAAAACTCAAAATCCATTTCTTGTCGGGAAGGCTGGTCCCTACAGGCGTGCTCAGGTTCAGTGACCTGCTAGGAGAACTCATAGAATTCAGCATGCAGTCAATACAGCTAAGATTTATCACAGTGAACGGATGCAAAGCAAACTCAGCAAAGGGAAAAGGCAAAGTGGGACAAAGTCCAGAGGAGACCGGGCACAAGCTTCCAGTGGTCCTCCCCTCTGCTAAGGTGCTCTGTCTCCAGAGCTCCCTGTCAGTGAAGGGCCACTTTTTATCTTGCTGTCGTCACCAGACAACTGGTGTCATTCCTGGCAACACCTTCTCTCCTCCCCTACAACCAACCCCCGATTCCAGCCACCATCCCCTCTCCCCTGGGCCTCTGCAACAGTCTCCTGTAACGGGTCTTCCCTTCTGTAGCTGCTCCTCCCTCATCTGCCCTCCTTTAACTGATTCACCTCATCTCTGCTCCTATGACTGGTCCTCCCTCACCCTCTCACTCCAGCAAAGCATCCTCCACACAGCAGCCTGACTGGCCTTTGAAAAAGCCATAGTGTTATCACTTACACAGTCTTTCCACAGCCTCCCATTACTCTCACAATTCCAAACCCATAAACACTACCATGGGCCTGCAATCTTCTCCAGGTTATCTCCCTCCACCCTTCATTCTGCAGCCTCTCTGGGTTTTTGTTTTTGGGTTTTTTTTTTTTGCCATTCCTCATATGAATGGAGGAAACTTCCTTCCTTCTAGCCTTCGCCCAAAGGCTGGTCTCCCTTTGCTCTCCGATTGTCAAAGTTGGCTTTGAAACGCTAGGTCGGCAGTAACACAGGTGTGTCCAGACACAGTGGAGAGAGACACTGGAGAGCTGTTAGTTCGTATGTGATCTTTGATGTCAGGACAGTGTGGTTTGAGGAAAGCTAAAGGGACAGGGTGTTTTAAAGTGTGTGTTTGGGATAGGGGTAGGATTTGGGGGTCCCTAATGTCAGATGTTGCTGTGAAGCCAGGTAAGATGAAGACTGGAAATTGACCATTGGCTTGGGTGACCCAGAATTCCCCGGGCCCTGGGTGAGAGCAGTTTGGGTGGCTTGGTGGGGGTGTGAGCCAGGCCAGAGGGGGCTGAGGGTTGGATTGAAGAGAGGCCAGTGGAGACAGTCAGTCCACTCTGTGAGAGTGAGGGTGGGCGCAGAAGTTTAGCTGAGAGAGGAGGGACGGCTTGCATCTCAGAGAAATACAACAGTGAAAATTGTTTGGGCTGCTTTCATCTGGGAGAGACTTGTGATTGCGTGAGTGCGGATGGAAGGAGCCTGCTGAGAGGGAGAGACCCCCCAGGAGGTGGGAGTCCAGGGCAGGTGGGCGAGCCTGGCCTGGTTCAGAGGCCATCTCTGCCGTGCCTTGGGGGGAGAGGGCAGAGCAGGGCCCAGACAGGACGCCGTGCAGTCTTGGTGGCAGGAAGTGGAGGTAGCCCTGGTCTGAACACTTCCGTTTTGATCTGTGCGGTAGGAAGTGAAGTTTCCTAGGGAACCTGGGGGCATGGTCAAGGTTTGTGGAGGAGAGAAAGGTTTGAAACAGACACGAAAACAAGAGTGAATTGAAAGGGAAGCCTGGCCCAGAACTCCAGTGCCCGTTCGCGTGACCAATTCTCCGGAAAGGGACTCTGGCAAGTGTGATTTTATGTCTCTGGTACCTCCTGAGGCACCTCAACCAGGGGCCCACACCTGTTGATTGAATTGAATCGTTGGCCCGTCTACCTTTAAAAATCCTTCTCAGCATTTTCTCTCCTTGCCAGGTGCCTGGCTGCCCATTCAGGGGCTGGACACCTCACTCAGGGGCCCATCCATGTCGGGAGGATAAGGAGCACTGTTCAGTCTCCACCCTTCCAGCCCCGTATGGCTGGGCCCTCCCCCTCCTTACACGAACTATCCCCCACCCCCGCCTCCCGCCCCAAGTCAGCCAGTGTTAGCCAGCTGTGCCTTCTCTAGCTGGGACGGGCAGAATTTCCAGACTCAGAATTGGTGGAGATGAAGTGTCAGGCACTGGGAAGCACTCTCAGGGGGAGAGGGGCTGTCCTGCTTTCTGCAGAAACCACAAGGCTGCTGTTCAGTCTTTCCGTCTGTTTAGTGAGTGCCTCTCCCATGCCCGGTTCCAAGTGTCTCAGTATTGGTAGCTCAGTAAACCAAAGAAGCACTCCTGCCCTCTTGTATTCTGGCAGGGAGACAGACAGTAAAGAAGTGAGCATAGACCGTCCCATGTGATAATCAGTGCTCTGGAGAAAAATGCAGCGGGCGATGGGGTCGCCAGGGATGTCGTGATTCCACGTGGGTCAGCGGAGGCCTCACCTGTGAGGTAACATTTGAGCACATTCCTGGGTGAGGAACCAGCTTCAGGAGTCAGGGGGAGAGCATTCCAGGCAGGGGGCCAGCAAGCAGAAGGCTCTTCTACCCGTCAAGGAAAAGCAAGGCTGGTGTGGCTGGAGTGTGTGAACAGGAGGACAGCACTGGGGAGTGGGGTCAGAGAATGGAGGCCGGGTCACAGGACTCTGAGGACACTGGCTTTTACCCTGAGTGAGGTGGGGTCATTGGGACAGAGGAGTGACATATCTGACTTCTGTTTTTAAAAGGCTCAGTCTGACTGCTAGGTTGTGAACAGACTGTAAAAGGTCAGAGCAGAGGGGGAGACCCACTCGGAGACAAGGGCTGCAACCACTGGGGAGATGGTGGTGGCTTAGACTGGGGTAGTTATGCTGAAAGTATGACAAGTAGTTAGATATGTTTGGAGGAAGAGCCAATAGGATTTGGTGTTGTGAGATAGAGAGTAAGAGGAGTCAAGGATGAGTTTTTGGTTCAAGGAACAGGATGTTTCTGGCAGGGAGACAGATGATTGGTGGCACCGTTTTATTAAGGTAGTGGAAGGCAGTAGGAGGAGCAGGTTGGACGGGGCTGGATGTGTTATGTTTGAGATGCTTAGTGAACAAACACGGTGCTATGGACTAGGCAGTCAGGATGACTCCCATTCAGGGTGGAGGTCCAGGCTGCAGATTGACACCGGGACATTGTCAGCCTTAGATGGCATCTAAGGCAGGAGCCAAGATGGGCTCACCAAGAGCACCAGTGTAGGCAGAAGAGGGAAGGGATCCAGCACCAGCCTGGATGCCTGAGGGGTGGGGAGTGAGGAGGGGCCAGGGAGGAGAAGGGGACCCGGAAGCTGGCATGGTGGTCCAGCTCGGCACATCTCACACTGTGACAGTCTGTACAGTTGAGCCTGGGAACTTGTTAAAAAAGCAGACTTCTAACTACTACTGAGAGATTCTGATTCTGAAATATATTAATTAGGGTACCCTAAACTATTGTAACAGCTAGGCTCCCAAAACAGGTCTGCTTCTCTGGGGTAAGTTGTCCAAGCCAGCATTTTCATCATGCTCCAGGGCACATTCTTAGCAGAGCATCCAGGGACTCAACCCCTGGGGAAACTGTCACCGTGCTTTGTGCCCGGGCATACTCCCCAGCAGAAACAGGAACTTGAGGTCCTGTCCCACTGTACCCTCTCCTACAACAGAATGCGGTTCAGAACCTCTGCATGCAGCAAGCACTGAATAAATGCTGGCCAGGAGTGAAGAATGGACCAGCATGGATATTAAGTGCTTATTTTTGTGCCAGACACTGTGTGCTAGTAATTTATGTGGCTCATCATGTTTACTCTTAACTCTGAGCTTCAGAGACAGATGCTATAATCATTGTCCCATTGTCTAGATGAGGAAAAGGTGACACAGGGAAGTGAATGGCAGAAGAGACTGAGCCCCAGTGGCCTGGTTCCAGAGCTGATCTCTAACCATTGGACTGTACTGCCCCTCATCAAGACCTTTTTTTCCAGCCAAGACACAGAGCCAAGGGCACTGGATTTGGAGCCAGAAAGCCTAGATTCAAATTCCTGCCCCAACGTGTGTTAGCTGTGTCATTTGGGGCCTAGGGACTTGACACCGTGGGGCCTCACGTACTTCATTGGAAATATGACCATGATAGTCCCGTGGGGTTAATGTGAGGCCTGAGTGTGATGTTACATGTGAAAGTACAAGTTGCAAATTTCTAGTATACGGAAGGAAGGTATGATTATCAACTTGAAAAAATCAGACTGTGGAACCCCTAAGGGTACCCAGAAGAGCTGCCTGAGGGATGTGGATTGTAGGAAACCCAACAGGCCTTGCTTAACCAGAATGGTTTCTTTATACAGTCATTTATTTGCTGATGTTTCTTCATGAGATTTGGTTTACTAAGATTCACTGTGTTTAAAAAACTGGGACACATTTGGCTGGCTGATCCCTTAAGTCCTTGCACAGCTGACTGGCTCAGTTGTTGGGGGAAAGCCATGCAGATTCTGTCTTCTTCCTTTGGGTCCCCCTCCCGGGCTCCCCACCCGCCTGCCCTCCCCTGTCATCCTCATCAGGCACATAGGACCCAACAGCCCGGTGTCAAGCGTTGAATTGAGGGACTACAAGGCTACAGCGTTCTGGGAGCTGGACTCTAGCCCATGTGTGGGCTGGGGGTCTGCGGCGGGTCGGGGGGTGCCTGGGAAGCTTCTCCCCCGAGGGCTGGGATCGGAGGGCTGCCTTTGGTCACACCTGCTTCCTCCCCTGGCCTCAGCCCGAGCTGGCCTCACCACTGGCCAGGAGGGGATTGCCTATCTGCCTCTCTCGGGACGTCGACTCATGCCCCAGCCACAGACTCTCCCAGCTTGGGGGGCGGTTGGCAGTTGACAGTACGTCACACATCTGTGGGCAGCTTTGGAGATGGGAACCTAACCCAGCGGCAGCTGTGCGTGAACTTTGTGGGCAGATGAGGCACAGCCAGAATGATGTTGGCCTTTGGGAGCTAGAAGTCATCAAAAGGTCAAGCCACAGTTTCTGGCTCCTCCTTGGCACGTCTGTTCTGTAGCCTGTCTAGGGCAGACTCCACTCTCTCCCCTTTCCTTGGAGCACCCTTAGGCCATGGAGGGTGGGGCTGAGCCCCAGTCCTCACTTAAACATGCTTCTAAGTTCCAAGCTAGATCTGAACTGTGGTCCGCTGGCTGTTGCTTGAGAGCATGCTGAAGTCTCCATCACTTTCTGAGAGCCTGTGCTCTGTCTGCCTGTCTATGGAGAAAAAGGATGGTCAGGAAGGGGGAAGAGGGAGAGACTGAATCTGAGATGGTAGCCCCGTGATAGGATGAAGTGGGGATCCCCGCCCACACTCGGAAATACAGTCTGGCTAGGGGTGAAGGAGACTTTCACAGGAGGAGAGGTGGGAATTTTGGCAAGAATCAAGGGTAGAGGGCTGACCCAGCTTCAGGGGCCCCTGCCAGGAGCCTCCTAGAGGTGTGGTTAGGGGTTACAGGAGAACCAAAAAGTACAGTGTCCCTGGGGCCGAGGGATCTTGGAGTTTCCAAAAGGAAGTGTCAAATGCCACATAAAGTGCAAGGGAGAAGTGATTTAGGAGAGAGTAATTATATGATTATAGCTTAGATCATCACACGAATAGAATATGCTTTTCCAAACTATGTAGGGGCTCACTTCACACCCCAACAGTCAGATGATTTGGGCCCCCAGCTTGTTCAAGGGCAGAGTGCAGATGGACTCGAGGGAGGAGGGAAGGCTGCAGCGAGCTGCCAGTGGGATCTGATGAGGGACCCAGGTCTGAAGGCCCTGCTCTGGAGCCAGGAGTGGAAGTCGAGGGAGGGGAGAGAGAGGCTGGTGTTGCTGGGCTGAGGTTGGGGACTGCAGGGTGGGTGATGGCGTGGGAAGGGGTGGGGTAGAGGTGTGAGGAGTCCAGACCCACCGCACTGCATTTCTGTTTCCCCATCAGTGTCTGCGTGGAGCAACTTCTCAGCAAAGGAATGATTTACAAAAGTGACAGACTGACTGACAGAATGTCTTGTGGGAGATTGTCCAATGTAACCATGAATTCAAAATAATACATTGGGTGAAATGGGAAGGAAAATGTGTTTGGAGAATAAAATAGAGAAATGAGAAAAACAGCAACAGAAAGGTAGCTCAGGGTAGAGAAAGAGCAGTTAGCTCAGTTAAGGGCCCCAGGAGAGGGGGCGCAGTGCCTTGTGTAGGGGAGGGGAGGTATCTGGAAAACCATGGAAATAGATACAGTTTGGTGCGTGCACCGGGAGGAAAGACAGCAATGTGCTGTGCCTGCCTGCACCGTTATTAAGACCTTAGTAGGAGTAGTGTCTGTAGGGGAGGGGACCGTGGGAGGCATGGGGGGCAGGTGGTGGGGCTCACAGGACTCAACTCTGTCTTCAGACCGACTACTCATCACTTTCACTTCTGGGCCTGGGCAAGGGCACGGGGGTAGGAATACGAGGTTATAGGAAAAGTGAAGTCCATGCCCAGCGAACAAGTGAGTGAGGAAACATATGGAAGCGTGAAAAGAACATAGGAGGGAACTGGGAGAATTTGGACCAGTCTCAGGGGCCGAGGTAGCTGCCTTCTCACTTGAAGGGCTGTCTTTGGAAAAGGGAACAGGCCTTCTCCCTGTGGTCCCACTCCTGACCTCCCTCCCTTGGACCTCACTTTTCTCATCTCGGTGAACAGCACCACCTCTTCCCCGGTGTCGGGCCCCAAATCCTGGAGTCAGCCTCAATTCCTTCCTGCTGTCAAGGCTCATATTTAGTCACCAAGTCCTCTTAATCCTATTGTGAAAATATATCCTAAATCGCCTCCGTCTGCTCCATTTCCTTACCCCACCACCACCATAGGCCAGGCCGGCACCGTCTCTCCCCAGCTGTTGCAGCATCTCCACCTGGACGTGCATCAGCCTCTTCGCCGCTCCCCCCGCTGCCCCCAGGCCCCACAGTCCACTCTGCACTCAGCATCCGGGGTGGGCTTTAGATGCCAAGGTAGACACTGCCCTTGGCTCCTTAAAACACTCATGCTGCTTCCCATTGTTCTGCTCTTAGAATAAACCCTAACTCCTCCCTGGGGGCCCCCAGGCCTGTGTGATCTGGCTTCTGCCCCACCTCCTTCTGCTCTTCCTTTTGTCCCCGACACTTGGACAGCACTGGCCTCCTTTCTGTTCCTCAGACATGGCAAGTCCTTTCCCAGAACTGACCACTGCCCATGCTGTCCCTCCTGCTGGGATGTCCTTCCTGCCATTCCCCGCACTTGCTCCTTCTCATCCTCCAGAAAGCTGCCCAAGGCCTGCCTCCTCCATGAGGCCTTCCAGGCTACAGTGGCTGCCTTGGTTTCTTGGGCTCAACATCCTCCTTATTTTCTTCAAAGAGCTGATCGCAATCTGTAATTACCCCCTTTGTTACTCCCTTGTCTCCTCCATTAGGTTGTAAGCCCCACATGAGCAGGCTTGGAC